TGCTCGTTTAAATCCACACAATGGCCCTTTTCTTCCGTTTATACATAACTAGACGATATTTTTCATTTATAACCGAAATGAATTTTATTTTGCAGTTTTGGTAGGCTAATCTTTTTGCATGAAGAATGGAGATAATATTGTCACTGTAACAATCTGAGCTGCATGTAATGAGTATGATTGCACTACTATTGTTCTGAAATTGGTTTTGCATCAAGAATTATGCATCTCTTTAATTTTACTATGTATATATATATGTTTATTAAACATATTGAAACAGTGAACTATTTTGATGATTGGCGAGCGGATTGATGAAAATGAAGTGAATCTTTTTCTTTCAGAGAACCATACAATCGCAGATATTCGACAGCATTACAGAAAATTTCAACAGTGGAATTGACGACGAACAGAAACTGCTGGAACAACGGCTTTTGGAACAGCAACGCCAATCCGAAGAAGATAGCCGTTGGTTGGCAAGGGAAGAGGTGCAACTAATTACCTACCTAATTTTTCATATTCACGTTGCTTATTGTAATCATTTTTACATTCTGTTATTGTTTATTTCCATATTTAGAAACGCTTATCCATTGCAACGAGTGGCGACGAAAGCGCGAGTCCTCCAGTTCCCCGTTCAGTTACACAGTCACCAAATCATGAACAGCACAGTGCTAATACTGGTTCTATAGGCTCCGATAAAAGTACCGAAAAAATAATCGTTGTGAAGGTAATTTTTCAATTTGCTTGAGTAATTAGTTTAAATATGGGAAAAATTACAAAAAAAAAAAAAAATCTGTTTCGTAGAAAATGGAACCTACACCAACCGCTGATCTGGATAGAACGAACGACAAGGTATACGACTGTACCACCAGCGTTGTTCGTGCTGTGATGTCTCTGTCTCAAGGTTAGTGACTATATTATCCGAATTACCGAGATATCTGTGACATTTGAAATAATATTTTAACTTGCAAAAATAGGTGTTCAACAAAGCAAAGCTGACCAATATTTGGAATTAGTGCGTAAAGTGGGTATTGAGTTGAGAGCGTTACTTTCATCTGTAGATGCTCTAATGGACATATTGCCCATATCTGCTCATCGAGAAGTAGAAATGGCACATAAAGTTCTTAGTAAGGATATGGCAGAACTTGTAACTGCCATGAAGCAAGCTCAAAAATACAGTGCTACTACTTTGGATGCAGAATACCGAAAGTAAATGTTTTGATTAATACGTATATTGGCACATCTCCACGCGTAGCAGATAAACAAAAATGTTAAGAAATATTTAATGTGATTTCAGAGGAATGCTGTCAGCAGCCCATATTTTAGCAATGGATGCAAAAAATCTTTTAGATGTAATCGACTCGATACGTATTCGATATCCATATGTAGATAGCCAAATTTGTCAAAAGCAAAATCATATTAATACTTCGCAAGAATCGATACCAGAAAGTCGTATTCGTTCCAGTCAATCTGGAGAACAATTCCTAAGGAGAAGTCAATCGAGTGAACGTCAAGGTACAACATTCAGACAGAGTCAAAGCGGTGATCTTTTACATAGAATGGGTCAATCCGTTGATCGTTCATTGCAGGTAAATCATAATTTAAACTTAATTTTATACAACAATCAAATAATTTCAGTGCAATGATATTTTAAAAATATAATTGCCCATTTAGGGTAGCCAAACTGATGTTAGTAGTGGCTCTAGTTTAGAAAGAAGGCATCATATCGTCACTAACAGTCTTGAACGTAATTCAACAACAAGAAGACAAATGACCACAAATAGTTTAGAAAGAAAAAGACCATCGTTATCTTGTAATATCAGTCCTATGAATAATTCGGTTAATCTGCCACCAATGGTTCCAGTTACCTGTAATTTAGTCCAAACAGTTGGACCTGTCATTCATCCCAGTCAAACAGTTACAACAGGTATTAATCAACAATCAGTGTTTGCATCTAATAATAAAACGACAAATGAAAGTGTAACAACTGATAGCTAACAACGAGGTGCCTTGCATTGAGGTAAAATTGTTTATTCCATTATGTGTAATTAACATAAAATTTTTCATTCCATTTGTTTCACTACATTTATATTTATTAATTTTAGGAAAACTTCGAAGAAATTGTATGTACATAGACCACATCGTACAAGTTACCCATTTATATCTTATGCATAACTCAGCAGCTGGAGATTTAGTATTTATGCTTTATAGCTCTTTTTAATATTTAACAAACTTTGTCTAAATGTACTTATAGATAGGACAGTATTCGTTAGATGTAATGGTAGAATTATTACTAAAAGGTGTAAGTCACAGCTATACAGAAATCACTCCAAAGCTTTAGAATTATTGTTAATTTGTTATTATATGACAACCATATGGGGTGACACAAAAGATATCCTCGAATTTAAAGGATTGTAAGCAATTTTTGTTGATACAAAGCTGATATTTAATATTTTTGAGGAAATATTTAAATTTTGCTACATATACTTTATTTATCGTCATTGAAAATTAATTATAACGAGGTTTCTATTACAATATCCATTACTTTAGAGATTGTCTTACTGCATCACCCTGTAAGTAGTTAAATAATTTTATATACGTAGATAGATTTATAAATATATATTTAAACAAATAGTTTAAAATATTCTGCAAAAATTTAATTTCTTATAGGACACGATTTTACAAAATTGTTTCTATGAATTTATAATTTAATAGTCTATTTCCTGCTAAGAGGAGTGATTATAATTGTAAAAAATGGGACTGAATGTTATTTCTATTAGATAATTATTTAGCAATTCATACCAATTTGTGAAATTTATATAAAATATTTTATAAAAAATAAAAATTATTCTTCAGCGGCAAGTCAGTTCCTACAAAATATTTCTAAAAATTTCATCTTTGCATAACAATAATTAACACATACATTGCGCTTGTGACACGCAAAGAACATACACAGCGCTTGTGACACGCAAAGAACATACACAGCATTTATTTATCTATTAAATATTCCATAAATATAAAATATTCCATTTTTATACATTTATTATTTTGTACGTTCCTGGGGAAATTTAGTTTCTCGTTAAATTAAAATTAATTTTCATGGTTATTGATCAATTTTTATATTATTCATTATCTTACAGTAACCATAATTTTGAATATTAATGTGCCAAAATGTGTTTATCTAATATAAACAAATTTTGCTGTTAACACAAAAAAATATACAGTGATATTTTAATGTATTATCCCAGGAATTTATATTTATTCATAGTTATGTCATTTGACACTACTATTGCATCGAAAATATCAAATACTTTTCTCTAGAATTGCATTAAGTATATGTAAATAAATACTCAAAATTAATATCATTTAATAATAATATTGATAATTGAGTATTATTTTTAGAAATTTCACAAGTGTTTTATTATGTGCATATTTTTAATACTTGACACAAATGAATTCTACAATTTATAATTACTTATTTATCAGAATTCTGTTGAAAAATTGATATATCTCGTGGTGCATGTTTATATTGTCTTCATTATTATAATATTATATAAAGTATATCTTTTGTTTTATAATTTCTTCATATAATATGTAATTATCGTAAGAATATCATGACGAATATCATAATATATAATGATATAATAAAATCATAAGATTTTTTAGAATGAAATTATTCTTTACGAAACACGTGATGAAAAAGTTTGAAAATTATTTATCTTCGTGAAAAAAATCGATTGCTACATCGGATATGTTTAAAAATTTTTTTCCATTAAATTTATTCAATTATTTCTATGTACATAAGTCATCTTCAAAATAAAAGCCTAATTTATTTTAGCTTTACAGCTAAAATTCTCTTACAGTTATATTATACAAATTTTCGAACTTTGTAATGAAATAATAAATAGATAAATTATTTATAATTGTTAGTATGGATAATTGTTCTTGAAAATATAATTTACAAAAAAAGAAAAAATAGATATTGGGACGAAAATATTCTATCACTGATCCTGTTACTGTTATCAGTTAGGTGGTAAAGATTAAGAATAAACGCAGTATGTAATATTTAAAAAATATTTATAAAATTGTGTAAATGTAACTATGTATTATGACCATAAGTAAAATAATAAACAATAAGAATGATTTCAACAGAATGAGTAATTTTAATCAATTATTTATCATATTTTGAGCTGTAATACTTAATACCGTTAATAATTGAAGATCTAGCATATTTAGTTAGAAGAGCATTAACATTCATTTTATTTGTTGTTAAATTTCTGAAAAAATAAATAATTTCTATGACAAGAAAAAAAATTGTATTTCATAAGTACAATTCATTTTTACTTACATTATATAGGGTGTTATTTCTTGAACTGTCCATTTCTTTTTTGCTTTAAAAAGTTTATTAAATCTTTCATCAACGTCTATTGGCAAATCAGTTTCTGGAAAAGACACTATTTCTTTTTCCATTAAGTTATTCCATCTAACAAGTGCAATTCCATATAAATATTTTTCTTTTGGTTCTATTTCTACATACAAAAATATAATACAAGCATTTTACTTATAGTAAATATCAAATTCTTTTTATAAAAGTTTCAACTTACTTTCAGGTGTACCAATATTCCATGATTTCATGAACTGTTTGTATTCAGTTACTGGAGAAGCAATAAATAGTACTTTTGCTAAAGTTTTACAACATTTTTCTTCATTATATCTGAAACATTAAAAAAGGTTAAAATAAGATCTTATATATTTTAAAAGGAATTTTGTGTAAATTGTTTATACCTGTATAATGATGTTCCATCCTTCTTTGATTTTTCACTTATTTCTGTATATTTTGTAAATAAAATATTGAAAACAGGTTTGTAAATAAGTTCTTTTAAAAATTCATATGTAATTTCTTTATCTACTTCATCTATTTCCCAACTATTTTCCTCAAAAAGATCTAACATAAGTGTTAAGCTTCGAGCCTCAAATTCAAATGATATGAGACGAAAGTAACCTTGAGATCAAAAAATAAAAAATAATGTAATTTTTTATTGAATATAAATAATATAATTAATTTTTATTTAATAATATTTAATAATATTGTTAATTGTTAGTTAATATCAGATACGTGATATTTAATAATTTATAAAACATAATACCATCAATATTGGTTATTAAATAATCATTCAAAGCCTGAATTAATTCAGCTTCACTGGCTTGTATTTCATTTTTTAATCTTTGCCAATCGTACAAAAGTTCATGAGATATTGACGATTCATATTCTATTCCTTTAAAAGATGTAGGCTCAAGTACATTAAGTAATTTTTCCAATTTAGGTCTGCACTGTTTTACCTTTGGTATTTTATATATTTATTCACAAATAAAAATTTATACCAAAAATTTGTAACATTTACAATATATAAACATATCAAAAGTACATTAACTTACATACCTCATAATATGTATGAAAAATCCCAGAAATATTACGACCTTCTATTGTTTGGTTTGAATCTACATTTGACTGTTCAGATAAATTTAATTTTGGTACTAACAAATAAGAATTAGATGTTTCTGCCTCTTTAATATCATATGTTCGATATTTTGTGCATAATACCACAAGATCTTCTTCAGTACCCTGAAATGTTAAACTAAAATGTTGCATAAATTATTAGCAAAAAATTTACAAATTCAAGTAGTTGCATACCTATCTCCTTTATTTACTGTTTCTAGTAAATGATCATCAAGTTCTAACAGTTTTATATGCTCTTCCACATTAGGTTCTTCTGTGGTATATAAAATTTGCGTTACCTTTTGCAAATCAGATTCTTTAATAACAGCTAATTTTAAGCTTTCTTGCACTTCTTCCACTGTTCTCGAATAGCTATAGAAATAAAAATCAAAGTATATCATTTATTAAAATAATAAATTAAATATTTATACGTGAAAATATAAGAATATGTAATAAGATTTCAACAGTTACCCAGACTCAACTGTTTCCATGATATGAAATTTGAAAAGGTTAGTGGTGAAGTGAAAAACTGAATTGTCGTTCTGAATAAAGATATTTATATAAATAAAATACACAAAAACTACAGGTTTTATATTAAAACCATATACATTTTATAGATTTCTGCGCACTAATTTTTCTTCGCCCAATCGTAGAATAAATCAAATTGAAGATGAAGTAGGTTCGATTTATCGAGACTTACACAATATCACCGGCAGCCATATTAATTGCCATTGCGCTTATTAAGAAACGTTGTTGTGAACAAAATTTGTACAGTTTTCTTTTTCACTAAGGTACGTATATTTTTCTACTCGAAAGTAAAATGTAATGATAGATATTTTCATCAAAGAACAAATATAATTGTAAATGTAAATATAGCCTGAATATAATAGTGACTTGTTTTCTGTTTTATACTTCTCTTTTAGTACCACTTTTTTCATTAACTTTTGATAATAGATTTACTAGCTAAAATATTTGTTATGTTAATAATACATTATGTTGTGTGTAAAAGGAAACCTCTTGTATTAGTAATCAAATTAATTTTGCCATTTGTGTAAAGTGATGCAGCAAAAATTAACCTTAAAGAACACAAAGAAATATACAAGATACAATGGTATTGTGACAAATCGTATTCAGTTATAAACGAAGATATCAATTTAAAAAAAAAATATTCTGAAGTATATATTTCCTTTCTTATATTAATTAATAATAATAACTAACAATGATAATAAAAATTATTAATTCGTTCTTTCTAGAAAGATAAGTACCACATAAAATCTAAACATGTCAAATGATGTGAACAGCCAAGCTGATAAGGTATGTTTGGTTTAACATATTATGCATGCTAATTTTTTTCATGACAGTTGGGATATGTGAAGTGTATTTGAAAGAAATATATGTGCTGTTACAATTGGGCTGCTATCATAACTGCAATGTCATTAATTCTTCTAATTGGAAAACAGAAAAATTATGGTAAACAATTTGTTGATTAATGCTAATTTTTCTTTGGATCAAGCCCAATGAGGAAGAAAATATCGATAAAGCAGAAGAAGAAGAAGGCACTTCATCTATTGATCTGCATGCGGTACCTATTTCTGCAAATTAAAATTTTGCTGCTTAATCTTTTTCTGTTTGTTATATTCCTTGTCTTTTGTTACTAACAGTAGGGTAGTTGTATGGTAGTTAAAAATATTAACTACAACATATAATGATACAAATACGTAGCATAATATACAAATAATGGGATAAACTTTTAGCAAGAAAGTGGAATTGTATATGGCGGTTGTGAAGGACCAAATGCAATGTACGTAAAACTTGTCAGCAGTGATGGACATGAATTTATTGTTAAACGTGAACATGCATTAACCAGTGGAACAATAAAAGCTATGCTAAGTGGACCTGGACAGTTTGCAGAAAATGAAGCCAACGAAGTTAATTTTCGAGAAATCCCGTATGTTTTTTAATTATATTCAAAACAATAAAACCTCTCTTACAATAAAATTTAGTTATATTCAAGATATGTAATGAAATATTTAATTCAATTTCTGTTTACAGATCTCATGTATTGCAAAAAGTTTGCATGTATTTTACATACAAAGTACGTTATACAAATAGCAGCACAGAAATACCGGAATTCCCTATTGCACCTGAAATTGCATTAGAATTATTGATGGCTGGAAATTTCCTGGATTGTTAAATATCACAAATAATATTAATAACGAGCAATTCAGCTCTGGGACATACCAATTTTATTGGTTATAATTTAGATTTGAAAAATGAAAAATTCAATATTGTGACACGTTTTTAAAAAAAATTCATGCTTTATATTTTCAGTACAGTTATTATTTTAGAAATAAATTATCACAATGAAGCAAACAATTTGAGATACGAACGTACATTTAAAAAATTGATGCTACATTAATAAATATTTGAGACGAAAATAATAGGAATTTCAATTAATAAGAGACTTAAATTTGCTGCATGTACTACCTAATTATATTTAATATATATTTCAGTAATACAATAAATTACTGCACCTAAATGAAATTTCTATTGAAAAACGATATGCTGATACAATATTATACATACATGCATGTCTATCTAATATACAATTATAAAAAAAGATTTGTATTATGTACAATTGATACAGAGTTCAATTAGATTGTATACTAACGAAGATTTTTATTTTTGAATCTATTGATATATTATAGTTATATTTTTTGTTATACATAAGAATATTTATTTTTGGCTTTTATTCCTGTTACAAATTACTTCATATTTATTATTTTCTAGCAACTTCCATAATTGTATCTTATATTTTTTACATAGAAAATAACAGGTAGATTTATAAGTAGAATATAATATATATATATAAAATTAGATACATATTATGTGATATAAGAGAAAGAACACACAACACATTTTTACAGAATCTTGATAAAAAAAAATGTATGTGTGAGACTGTATTCTAATGTAGTTAATTATAAAAATTAAAAATAACGACTATTTTTATTTCTTACCTTTATTATAAGAAATATGATATTAATTTTCATATTTGGACAATAAATAATACATGTTTGAATTAATTATATATATTTTTAGTTTTGATCAATTTTTTGTTCTACTTGTTTTTGGTATCTTTTTCAATGTCCTTAAACTTCGTTTCTAATCGTTTTGAATACGCTGCCAATTTATATGCAGCTTGTTCCAACTTGGTTACACTATCGTCAATTTCATTAATGTTATCTAAAATTGGCTGTAATTTTTTATATTTTTCGTTTAAGGAATCCAAAGATTGCGCTACACTAGAGGATATTGTCTTTAATTCGGTATATTTCGCAATAGTTTCTTTGTTTAAGCGTTCTAATAAGCGGTAATCGGCATGAGTGGAAGTGAGTTCTTCTTGCAAATATTCACCAGTTTTTTGAAACATCGTATTAGCTAAACGACTAAGATTTGGATCATGGGGATCCAATGCTTCGAAGCTACTTGTGCTTGTCGAAAGCGTAGTTCCTCGTTTTGGCGATCCACATCTTGAATTATGATCTGCTGAATTTTCCATATAAGATTGTTCAATTTGAACATCTTCTCTTAATGGATCTTTGACAGATGTCATTGTTATAGAAAATAATTATCCGCTTAAAAAGAAACAATATATAACCTCTCTTGCAGAAAATTATTGTACTACCGCTACCTATTTTCTAGCTGAAACTACAGGTGAGGCATAGAATAGATTTCACATTCAATATTTTTCATGTCGTACTATTTTTTTAATTTGCTAACTATTCCTTCGATTATGATTATATTCCGATATATAATATTGAATCCCAGTAATCTTTTGCGGTTTTGATTTTAACATTGACTAAAAATCTAGTCAATGTTTTTTAACGAATACAATAGATGGTAACACTCTGTTTGCTTGTAGACAAGTTTAGATTAATTCCACCGTTTCACCACTATGTGGTGATAGTGTTTCAATATTTATGACTCGATCAAATTTTTGCACAAAAAACTAATTAAAAGGACTTATTTATAATCTTTTGTATCTGTTTAGTTGGAATCACAATTTTCTTCTTTTATATGTTTATATATTTAATATGTAGTAGCATTGACTAAGGAATAATGATATTATTTTTTAAAGATAGATTGGATCACTTTTTAATCAATATAGAATTCTATACTTGATCTGCAATTATAAAAGATCCTACTGTGTATCTTATGTAATTTAAAATTTAAAACAGTACAGATAAAAATTGTGTGTTAGATCTATTTTATCTTTAATCAATAGTCGAGATATTATTATTGACAATATTGTAATTATATTTATCAATTATCAATAAAACATTCATTTTAACAAAAAGGTTTTAAAACCTTTTAATATCTCAAAATTATTCTATTAATAGACAATCACTTTATAATAACAGAAACATATGTCTTATGGCACAGTAATTTAATATTAACTATAAAAATTCTTTTCCAGAAAATCATTTACTGATTTTTAATATAAAAGTTTGGGATTTGTGACATGTAAAATAAATATGCATATATATTCAGACTTTGGTTTAAACTTTGGTAACTAGATACCACCATGGCTTATGTTTAAAATAACTGAATTATATATGTATATAATTCAATTATATATATACATATACATATAAATGAAATATTCTGTTTAAAATATTTAACATTTTTCTATAATGAATATTTCAACAATTATTACTAGCGTTTATAACCATTTGGATTATTTTGTTGCCATTTCCATGTATCTAAACCTATAATAGTATATTATTGTAATAAATTGCAAAACTTATTAATTACTATAGAAACAACTATTCTTCATTTGTCAGTAAAACAATAACTTACACATATCATCTATATTTTTGGTAGCTTGCCAACCTAGTTCTTTATTAGCTAAACTAGCATCTGCATAACTAGCAGATATATCTCCTGCTCTACGTTCAACTATCTTATATGGTATCTTTTGCCCTGATGCTTTTTCAAATGCTCGTATAACTTCTAGTACAGAATAGCCTTTTCCAGTACCTAAGTTAAACACTTTAAATCCAGCAGAGTTACGAATTTTTTGATAAATCATTGCTTTCACATGACCCACAGCTAAATCTGTTATATGAATATAATCTCGGACACCTAAAAATTAATTAGTAATTAATATAAATAGTTTTAATAAATATAAAGTAGTTACCTGTAGCATATCAATTTCATATAAATATTTTGTTTTTCTACCCCACCTGTTCCATCAGGAGTATCATAGTCATTGCCATAAATATATAAAACTTCTCTTTTGCCCACAGATACTTGAGCAATGTATGGCATTAAATTATTTGGTACTCCATTAGGATCTTCTCCAATTTGTCCAGAAGAATGAGCTCCAACTGGATTAAAATATCTTAGAGATATAATAGACCATTCCTGAAAACTTTTAATAATATATATTTAATTCTATTTCAAATGAGAAAACAGAAGATAAAGATAAAACTTGGCACCTGGTTTGAAGTACACAAATCTTTTAAAATTTCTTCAACCATGTATTTTGTTTTTCCATAAGGATTAGTGCAATTACCAGTTTTCATATTTTCAACTAATGGTAACTTTTCAGGAATACCATAAACTGTAGCACTACTTGAATATATAAAACATTTCACATTGAAATCTCTCATAACTTTTAATAAATTTAATGTCCCACAAACATTCGTTTTATAATATTCTAATGGTTTTTCACAAGATTCACCCACTGCTTTTAATGCAGCAAAATGTATAACAGAATGAAACTTATGCTAAAATAAAATTATTTTAGTTATTTAGTTTCATTATATATTCATACTTGATAATATTTATAATCATACCTTCTTAAATATGTCTCGTAATTCATTCAAATTTGTTATATCACATTGAATAAATACAATTTTTTTATTTGTTAATTTTTCTATTCTTAATATACATTCTGGTTTTATGTTATTATCATCTACATATAAAAAAAACACAAATATAATATATAATATATATAGCGTATAATTGTATAGTAGTATATAATATTATATAATATATATTAATTTTTTTTACGCATGCATTTTAAAAAACAAATACGTGTTACTAATATTAATTACATATATTTATTATGTGCATAAAATCTTTTGAAATATTGTTACCCAAGTATATTAATCAATTAATAATTTAATAAACCACTATTAATTCATACCTATGAGATATTGCTTATTGTTTCATAATAATTTGTAAGGAATAATCATCATTTTTTTAACTTGAATCATCATTTCTCACCTTTATAAGCATTACTAAGATTGTCTATTACCACCACCTCAAAATCTGCTTGTAACAGTTCCAATACTGTATGAGAACCAATGTACCCAGCACCTCCCGTCACCAATACTTTCCAGGATTTGTTTGCCATAGTGTCACACTGTTTTTCTGTTATTTTTAATGCATTATTCTACAATTATGGTGCTTTTACCGTATTAGAAAAAAATTTATCATTCACATACATTACACAGCCAAAACTATGTTAATGGAATGTTAAATACAAGATAAGAATAATTAAATCACTTACTAATAATTATTTTTAAACATTTTACTACTAATTGATCTTCAATTCATACATAATTATGATATATGACGATACATATTTATATATATATATATATATATATTTATTTATTCCAAACCATTTTTTTCAATTACCAAACAATCCGAAAATAATATTGTATATACAAATATATAAAATTCCGTAAAAGAAATTTGATTATAATAGTTCATATGTATAAAATTGCATATTTCTATAAAAAAAAAAATTAATATCGTACCTTATTCCGTAACACGTATGCAATTAACCTTACTTTCCAGTCGTAAAACCCTATGTTTAAAGTAACATTCTCTTATCAACGTGATAAGAGATTGTATTCTGATTTAAAATTACATAATGATGCGTCATCATGTTAGCATTGTTTAAATACTAACTATTCAATATTTCCAACAATCAGGAACTGGCAAATTTCATTCTAACATTTGCCAATTTCTTAGTTCTATTATACATAATATTGACATTTATTTATAACAATTATAATAAACAATTTCTTTATTACAAATTT